CGGTGCGGTGCGGTGCGGTGCGGTGCGGTGCGGTGCGGTGCGGTGCGGTGCGGTGCGGTGTGTTGCGCCGTGCGTGGCGTTAGGGGGTCGCCCTGGCTTGCCTCTTCACCACCACCCTCTTGGCTGATCGCCTGGATGCCTTGCCTCGTCCTCTCGGCCTCTCGTCGAGTCGTCCTCGCCACCTCAACTCGCCCGCCTCGCTCGCCTCGACTCTTAACTCACACCTCCAGTCAGACCAAAGTAGCATGGCGACATCCAACCCCCTCAACCCCGCGGGCCACAGCGCCCAAGTCGGCTCCCCTTCGACGACTACGCAGCCCTCGTCAGAGTTTCGCGCCGCGGTCGAGGACCTCCTCGCCGCCAATGGGCCCTACATGACATCCAATTTCTTCGCGGTCCAGGCACTGCTCGACGCTCCCTCGCATCACTCAGACAAATGGCGGCGTCTTGTTTGCCAGCTCCTCGACCTTCTCGTGGATAGCTTCCGCGACTACGAGAGGCTTTGCTCCCAGCCCACGCCCGAGCACCTGGCCCAGCGCCTCTTGGACGACCGAGGCAATCCCCTCGAACCCGTCGATCCCCGACTCTTGTCTTCCAAGCTTGATGCCGAATAGGCACCCAGGCAACGGCCCTGGGACACCGCCCTCTTCCTCGACTGGCTCCTACGCAACGGAATTGCCCGTGAGTATTCGCCGTGCGCAGTCTCTTCGGCGCCCCCGCTCCACGACCAACACCCTCTCTCCTCCTTTCTCGTATGGACGAGGCTCTTGCACTGCCAGCCAAGTGTAACAGCTCCAAGCCGCACTTGGCCGAAGTCGACTAGTGAGTGCCCCTCTCACTGTGCTTCGATCCCGTTGTGCGCCTCCGAGCGTCGCCATTGCGGCTCATGCCTCGTAACACCTTCCCGCTGCAAGGAACACCAGCTATGGCCAGTTCCCGCGTCTTGCAACGGCCTTCGACCAACCATTTCGGGGAGCTCTCGCAGCCCGGCTTGAGTTTGCTCTCCGAGTCGATCTCGAAGTCATCTACGCGAGCGGGAAGTTCTATGGCAGAGCCGTCCCCGTCCTGCAGTCGAGCGGCACCGGCAAGAGTCGTTTGGTAGGTGTCGCACCTTGATCCTGCTCGAGCCCTTCCCCTGGCCGCACGCTCGCTCCTTGCACTGACTGGTCGCGCCTCGCCATTCATTAGGTCTGGGAGCTGCGTCACTACTGGCCCACCCTCTCTTTCGTGCTTCGCCCTCCTAAGACTGAAGACGTGTTCGAAGGTTTCCCGCTCAAAGACCGTCCGGCAACGACTTACTTCGAGGAGGTCAAGGCCGCTGATCGCAACCTCATCGTCGCCGCCTGGATCGCCGCCTGGCTCGAGGTGGCCGCCGAGACAGCCGACTCCGAATCCAGCGCCATGGGCGCCATCTTCGCAAAGTGGGCCCATAGCGCTATCGACAAAGGCAGTGGCAAGCTCGAGCCCAACGGAGAGCGGCACGATGCTTTGAGGCCGTGGCCCGTAAAGCGCGCGCCAAGGTCGCAGATTTCAATGACTCGTCCAAAGTCGCGGCGGTTGCCACAGGAGATTTCAGAGAGGCTGCCGACATGGTGGATCAGCTGGTCAGACCGGCGCTCGAGCACCTCGCCTCGCGCCTCAAGGCGTCGCCCGCAGTCAGGGACGCAATGAAGGAAAAGGCTGTCAAGCGGCCGTTGATGATCCTCGCCATCGACGAGTGCATGCTGCTGGAGCAATACAACAAGAGCATCACGGTCGACGTATTCCGCCGCTGCATGCAGCTCATCGGGAACCGCCTCCATTCGGTCGAGATTACTCTGTGGCTGCTGCTCCTCGACACGTCGAGCGCAGTGGGCGGCGTCATTTCGCCCGGGTACGGAGGGGGGTCAGCAAGGGCCAAACAGTTGGCTTCCATACCACCCTTTCTTCCCATTGGATTCGACACCCATGCGGACACGCACCGCCCGGTCTCGCGGCCGAGGGACGCCCTCCTCCTCGACGCCCTCAAGCGCTACGGTCGACCGTTGTGGAACGACTATGATGTCGAGGACCTCCTCGAGATGGCCATTCGGAAGCTGCGCTGCGGCGATCCGGCCAAGCCTGCAAGAGCCCTGTCGGACGTCATAACGGCCGAGGAGGTCCGAGCGATCGCCGCGTTGTCGCACCGCATCTGCTTGGACATCGTCCCCCTGCGCAGCGACGGCAACTGCTGGGCCATTTCAAAGGACTCGGTCAACAAGCACATGCGCTACATCACGCACTTTCTGGGCGACAAGATGATTGCAACCCGCGCCCCGAGCGAGCCGGTCCTAGCCCTGGCCGCTTGGCTGCTCCTTGCAGCGCCCGAAGCGACACATGGAGCAGCGTGGACGTACAAGACGATCCTGTCAATCATCGAAAGTCGCCTCATGTTCCGCTCGTCGATCAATCTCAAAGGTGTTCACGGCGAGTTTCTGGCACGGCTGCTGCTCGTCATGGCCCACGACGCTTGCGATGCGCTCGTCAAGGCCCGCGCCACGCACGCGACCCGACCGACTGGACCTGCGGAGCTCACGGCCATTCCTGCCGTCAATCTGAGCTCGTTCCTCGAGTCGCTGCTCGGGCCCGCATGTGGCCAGACGGCGCTCCCGCAGCTTCGGCCGATTGTCGACACCTCGCACGTTCCGCGGCCCTGGACGTCACCGCAAGACGGCCCAGCCAGGGGCCAGGCACAGTCAGGACTGGCCCCGGACGCAATGGACGAGGATCGAGACAGCGCCGAGAGTTCACCGTCGCCGCGGCCCGGTGCTTCCGAGCGCGGCGCGTTGCCGGACCTCGGGAGCGACGTCTGGCTCAACTTTACCCACATGGCGGTGCTCGAGGACAAGGTGGAAGTCTTTTGGCCACACTTCTTGTGGGACTGCTGGAAGCGCGGATTGGCGCTGCAGTGCGGCCCTGGCCAGGACGGAGTGGACGGCATCCTGCCCGTCTACCTCGGATCTCTCGACGATGCGCTGGACTACGAGGATCAGGCTGCGAGCCGGATGTCGTACATCGCGTGGCAAGCCAAGAACAGGACGGAGCCCTGCCACAGTAGGGTGTGCCTTCACGGGCCGGGCATAGCCTCCCTTCCTCGGATGCAGCAGCATCTACGGCAGCAGCAGCAACAGCAGCACAGCGGAGAGACGGCGGGGTCGGACCCGGACATCAAGGACGTCGGCATCCTTGCGCCGCTCTTTACGATTCTCTTTGATCTCGGCACGACGGTTTCGTTCAGCGACTCGCCGTGCGCCCCCATCTCGAAGCAGGTCAAGGTGGTCAGCGAGACGTGCACCTCGTCCGGCCCCGCCCACGATGGACACTACCCGTCGCTGCGCATCCGTGGATGCGACGGCGACGTCTTGCCGTTCCTGAAGCGCTTTGACTGCGCCGACATTGTCGCGAGCATGGCGCAACAGCAGCGATGGGGACGGTTAGATTTGCCCAGGGACCACGGTCCTCTATTCCCCGGCGAAAACGTCAGGGAGACGGCGGATGCGCGGTTGCCCTTAGGGCAGCTCACGGCGGCTGCGCGGTCGCTCTCGGAGGGGCACCAACACACCCAGGCCGAACGCGACAACATCGCCAGTCGTGTGCTTCGGCGGGGACGTTGGGCTGCCGTGGCCTTGGCCTTGGAAGGTGACGGCGGCGCCAGTTAGCGGGTCCGAAGCGACGGAAGGAAGGCAAGCAGCGATGAAGCGCACAGCGTGGCCCGCGTTTCATGAGGCACCTACGGTTCGGGCGGTGCAGACCCGACGCAGCACCCCACCTGCTGATGTCGAGCCCCTGAGAGCTACCAAAGTGGTTCGAGGTGGGTCGGGTGTGCGTTGCCTCGTGCTCGCCTGCCTTCCTGCCCGCCTGGCTGGCTGCGCAGGAAAGAATCTTCTCTCGGTCCGCTGCCTGCCTGACCCGACCTTTGCTGGCCTGCCAAAGCGATGGGCGCGCTCAAACGGCGATCCCAGCAACGTACGGCCAACCACGTGCGGTCGCACCTCGAACCCGGCAGTACCAGACGAGGCGAGGCGAGACGAGACGAGGCGAGGGGCGGTGTCTCTGTGTGCAAGAAGAGGGGGAGAGAGGGGATGTGGCGAAGAAGATGCAGGCAACGCAGTAGTGGGAGATGCGCCATGGTGGTACGTCGGTGGGAAGCCGTGCCTGGACAACCCTGCAGCAGGGAGGAGGAGGCTAGCCACGCCGAACCTTCTTTGTTGGATCTTCGTTTCTCCGGCCCGCAGCATCGCTTCGGATCAGATGGCAGGCTGTCATATCATGTTGACCGGTCTCCCTGGCTTGGCCGAGGTATGTATGTGCTTGTGTGCTCGTCGCAGAGGTGGAACGATGCGGTGCGGAGCGGAGCGGTGTCGATACATATGTAGCCCCCCCCCCCCCCCCCCCCCACCCTGCTGGGGTGGGCGGGAGGGGGTTTCTCGAGCGGTGTCGATAGCTCCCCCCACCTGCTGGGGCGGGAGTGAATTTCCTCGATAGGATCCTCGAGTCGAGTCGGGTTCAGTTGGACTCGAGTCGAGGGCATTGGCCGCCGCTCTGCTGCGCCTCTGCTGGGCCTGGTTGATGGCTGCGGCTTGCAAACAAGGCCCCACCCGCATCTTGCTCGCTGGCTGCGTGCGCCGCGCCGCACAGCATGGCATGGCATGGCATGGCCGCAGGGCCGCGCGGACGGAGGGGGGCATGCATGTGTACGGGAGCGAGGAATCAACATCCACTCGGCTCGGCGCAGGCTGGCTCGTGGTCGTGTCGTGGCTGGGCTCGGGCTGAGCTTGCTTTGGGCCGACACGCTCTATCTGAGACCCCAGCCCCCGTCTCAGCCCGACCTCAGCCTCAGCCTCAGCCCTCGGTCCACCTGGGCCCCTCGTGCATGGCGTCACAGGCCAGGCCTAGGCCATGCCCATGGGCTGGGCTGGGCACGCGCCTAGCTAGCGATTGCGCCGCGCCTCGCCGCGCTTGCAGCTGGCCGGGCCGCCAAAGCCCGCAAGGATCGGCGTCAACTTGCAGCCGACTGCGGCGGGCCTCGGGACGAGATCTGCGAGACCTTCGAGACCTCGGCCATCGCGGCCAGTCACACCGGCCTGCCAGCAGGCAGGCGCCAGGCCGACGGCAAACTTGCTTCGTCATGTCTGCACGCCGGTACGTGTACGTACGCCGTCGTGCTCCAGCCGCGATTCTACCCATCGTCGTCACCTCGAGCCAGGATGCACCGTCGATGCAGGCCAGCCCGTCGAGCACGAGGTACGTACGTAGGCCCTGAGCCACCGGTGGCGCGACGGACCCGAATGGGCCCACACCGCCCGCCGGTCCATCTGGCCTGCGATGGGCGTCGGATTCGGAGACTGCCGATGTTGCAGCCAGCGCGGCCTGCCGACGCCGATGTACGTGGGTAGGCTACCGAAGGCCGAGAGAGAGAGAGAGAGGAGGAGTCGCGGTGGGGACGGCCGTCCGTCGGGTGACGTAAGGGTCGGGAACGGTAGTCGTCCTTCTACAACCACCCACCACTCCACGTACCCCGGTACCCCGACGTC